AGCTAAAGAGACCCAGCTCCCTCAGCTGCTTCTCATAAGAGAGATGCTCCACTCCCTCCATCATCTTTGTGGCTCTGTGCTGGACTCTTTCAAGCAGTTTCCTGTCCTTCTTGAACTGAGGGGCCCAGAATTGAACACAATATTGCAGATGTGGTCTCAAAACCTGGTTGTGTTCTTCATAATGATACAACTTTCTTAAGAGGTGCACAAGCGTGTGTGCACGTGTGCTGGCTCAAGCGAAACTTGGCATAGTAAAATTCAGCTTGTTTCCTTGGTGGAGAATGAGAACTAATTTATTGTAACTTCCAGCTTTACAGGGCAAATGAAACGTGACCGTTTCCTTTGTAGGACTGAAAATCTGGTTTTAGGTGCTACGCTTGTCAATGAGCTGCTTGGGGTGAGGGGTTTGGAGGGAAGGGGGAGATGTCCCATACTTTATTTATGGACAGTTTTACAAAGTCTTATATTTTTCTTGTGTTTTTTTCTTCTCGCCTGCTGCTTTTCTGCATGCTTCTCTCCACTGTTGAAAGGGGGAACATTGCAGTGTAACCCAGTTCTGAGGGGTTAGCATGGGATGTTTCACTGCTGAGCATGCATCTCCTTGGTGAAGCAGGGGCTCTGAGGTTAGCGTGATGAAAGATAACTTCCCTTGCTTTCCCTGACTGCTTTATCAGTAGTCTGCCTGCTTCTGGCAAATGCAGCTGGAGAGACTTAAGGCTCTTAATTTGCTCTGGGAGACTTAATGTCCTTGCTTGCACTTGGAAAAGGAGGCTGGCCAGTTGCAAGCTTTAGGTTGATAGCAGGAGCTCTCTTTGAGGGCCTTCCCTCTTGATCTGGGTGTACTGAGGTGAAAGTCCGAGGCCTTGTGAAAGCTGGCAGTCTCAGCTGGTGAGCTGGTCGATGGACGGAGTGGGAAGTGCTCACAGATACTGGTGAGGGTGTAGTCCGCACGTGCAGAACCTCTAGGACAAGCTGTTGCCCGGTTGTGCCATTAGCATTAATATCTGCATGCCAGAGTGGTCTGGACAGGCTGCTGACTCTTTCTGAGCATTCACGTGTCCTGTGGTGCAAGGGCTGACTTCTGAGAAACCACAGCCGTCAGCTCCATCCTGATAGCCTGCCAGCTTAGCCAGGAGGAAATGGATGACAGACCGAGCTGTGTGCGCTGTACAGCAGCAGGTAAAAATAACTGGCTGCTTCATTTTAGTTTCTAAAGCTGCTAAATGGCTTGTGAGATGTCTGCCCATGCCTACATTTTCCCTGGGCTTTTCCTGGGGGAGAGTTTCTGCAGGGTAGCTGCACAGGGAGCCTGGCAGGGCAGGAAAGAAGGAGCCAACACAGGGTGGCTCTCTGTAGCTCAGCTACTGATGCTTCCTGAGGCAGGGCACGTTCTTCAAGGGGAAATGTGGTTGGGTGTCTTGGACCGCATCTCCTCCCCTTGCTGCTGTTCTCGCAAGTATTTCACAGACTGTCAAGCTGAGGTAGTCTTAATTTAAAGGGGAACAGAAAGGACCTCCAGTCAAGACAGAGCAACCACGAGCTGTTGACCTACAGCAGCTGCTCATGGAGAAGTTCAATTCAGGTATTCGCTTAACTTTCTAATGAGTCTGTTCATCTCCTCGGTGATAGCCTCTCTAGCCTGGGGTATTATCAGAATCATGTAATTGCTGAATCTGTATATGCAAATAGGTTGTCATTACTCCAGTATCTTATTGAGTGGGAAGCCTGATCTAACGTGTCCCTTTGGAGCATGGATATTATCAAATGTAATGGGATGGTTTCCTCTTCCAGTGCTTGCATGCTCACAAGTCAGTAGCACGTGACTGGAACTTGCAAGATGCCCATCGCTTTGCTGCTTATGTGGGAAGTTGGTAACTTGCAAATTCAGAATTTTCTGAATGAAGAAACCAGATGAATAACTGATAGCCGAAACTCCAAGTGCCTGTTCTGTCAGCTGTTAATCCAATTACTGATTAACACTGCTTGCTTATTCCCGTATTACCTAACAGCTCCCTTCTTACATATGTCCTCCTGGCAGTCAACCCTGTTATAAGAATGCGGAAGTGCAAGACAAGATCAGGCAATGCCAGAACTTCTTAAAAGCTCAAGTTATTTTTTTATTTGTTACTTTGTTTCTAGTATCAAATAACATCAGCAAAGCAGAGGGGCTTGTTCTCTTCTGGCTCCCTTCTTATCCCTGCTTACTGTAGATGTAGCCGGGATCTACAGCTTTAGGTTTAAATTTCCTCTGCGATTGACCTTATGTTGGGCAAGTGAATACAAATTACCACACTAATGTTTCTGTGTTGGGGTGGGGATGATGCCCTTACGATCAGGATGTTGGCAAGTGTCAGTTTGTGCGTGTGTTGCAGGAACAATGTTGCTTTGCTGTACTTTGGTCATCATTGGCTCTCTCTTATCTGCGGTGAGCTTAGTCTTTCTGATTTAGTCACATTGGAAATAACCAACAGAGACTGTAAAGACACTGTTCTAGTAAGAGTTGCCTGTTCTCCTCCTCCCCAAAAGATGTGATGTCTTGCTCTGCATATGCCAAACGCCTGACGTGATAGCTGTCATGCAAGGGAAGGATGTGGGACCAGTGCTTCATTTTTTCCTATGCAGCTGGGCAGCCTGGCACTGTCAGGTGGGAGTAGTCCACCTTTCCCTAAGACAAGAATTCCCAAACCTGGAATCTGGCTTTTGCAGCTGATGACTTTGGACAGTATCAATTAAAATAGTTAAGGAATTTAAAACCTCAGTCTATTTCTATGATACTTAGTACTGCTGTCTGAAAATCCAAAGACCACCTTCAGTACGTAGCCTTGTGTCAAAGTAGTTTCTTAGTCAAATCTGCACATTTGTGTAGGTGCAGTATTAAAATCTTTGCGAAATTACATGTACTGTTCTAGGTTTGTTTAAGAAATGTCAGTGTTGGTAGTGATGCCTTACTTGAACTTTACAGAGCTGTAGTTTTTTCACTCTACTCTTTCTACAGTAAACATTAAAGCACCAATCTACTTTTACTCATGTGAGTAGGCTTGCTTACAACGTGGAATGATTCACATACTTAAAGTTGAGTGTATGTGTACCACTATTCATGACAAAAATTTCAGCTGAATGATTTTGCTAAGATTTTGTGGCTTAAAACTTGTATCCTGAAAGCAAATTTGCATTCGTATAGTTAATGAAATCCCATTTAAATGTATAGAATATTTTTTTAAGTGCATTAAAAAGAATTTCAAGTATCCTAAGTTTAAGTCTTTGGTAACAATAATGAAGAAGTCTAAATTTGAATTCCTGACTGACTTCCAGCTTCGCTGTTTGAAACTAGCAGGACATGTACTATTAATTGAAGCCTGCTTTAATAACTTTGGCTCTCTTGATTTGTGGAAACTTGATGTACCCAGAGGTGGGAGAATTCTGAGTAAAACCTAAACTGTTGGCATCTTCACTGTATGGGTGCACTGGTTAGACAGTGTGGTTGGTTGCTTAGGTCTTTCTCATTAGGACTGAGCATTTTAAGTAGAATGTTTCTGACTAATAAAAAGTGCCAGTCCAAATCTGAGATTTTATCTAGTAAATAATTTATACTGCTCTTTACAGATGTGTTTTACAGTATGTAGTAAATAACAAATAACTTTGAAAATCATAGAATCACAGAATGGTTTAGGTTGGAAGGGACCTTAAAGATCATCCAGTCCAACCCCCTGCCATGGGCAGGGACACCTCCCACCAGCCCAGGTTGCCCAAAGCCCTGTCCAACCTGGCCTTGAACTCTTCCAGGAAAGGGGCATCCACACCTTCCCTGGGCAACCTGTGCCAGTTCCTCACCACCCTCACAGTAAAGAAGTTCTTCCTAATATCTAGTCTAAATCTACTCAGCTGAAAACCATTCCCCCTCGTTCTACTCCACAGTTTTCCAAGGCTTGGGAAATTTTGGCCATGGGAGATAGTTTTAAGGATTCATACTGGTCTTCTAACAAGGGGAAGTCAGTGACTTTCATCTCATGTTTTCCCCAGGGGAAAAAAAAGGTGTGAGTCAAGAGATAGAAACTAGATAAGAAAGTGCTCTCTACTGAGTAGATATCTATACAATCATCTGTTGTTTCTTTCTCTAGTTGGGAAAAGTATTTCGTGGCAGGGGTAGGAGACCTGTAATCTGGTTTCATTCTTGCTAGGTTGCTGTGGGGTTTTTTTTGCAGCCAGTGATACCAGTTCAGTTTGTTTGCTCTTTTACCAACATCCATGATTTTACTGGGAAAGAGAAATGAGAACATTGTTTTGTGTATGCAGATTGTAGGGTTTCACATGTTTACTTCTACTCTTGGGTCTGTTTGGGTAGAGTGTTGCTATTCTGCAATGCAAAGGCTCTGGTACATTTCCATTTCACTTTTGTATAGATTCAGGAGCTTCTGGTTCTTGCTCAAGGCACAGGATCTCTTCAGACTACTACCTCATGTTGTATTTTGTGGACACAATGAAATTGGGAGTTGGGGTGAGCAACATAAGCATGATCCAGAAAACTAAAGATACTACTGAGATGAAAGAAAAATTGGTTTTATTAATTTTCTTTATGAGAGGAGGACTAAAGGCTGCTGCCTATCCTACAACGCACTCAGAGTGCAGCTGTGTCAGATGAGTCCTGTTGCCAATCATTCTTATATCAGACATTGACATACTAATTTTCCTATCTAACATGAGAAGAGACTATCCATCTTGGCAAAGAGTGGCATTATTTGCTTGTAAGCTTGTACAGTGCTACTCCAGCACTTTTGCGTCTTTGTGAATGTTCCCCAGCAGTCCTCTTCAGGGAAAAAATAGAGGAAGCTCTGTAGCTTCCTTTTCTTCAACTGGATCCTCTTTTCTGAGCATTACTTTGAGAATAATAGCAATTTCCACCCGGCTATCTCCCTGACAGTTTCTCAGGATGGATGTGTGTTAGTTACCACCTTTTCAGCAAAGGGGAGTGATGTAACAGGACTCTCTATGTTTTATTTTAGACTCAGGCTGTGACTCTGTGACTGATACAGAAACAGAAGACGAGAAGAACCCAGTTTATTCCTGCAGACTTGCCATGAGTGAAGAACATGGATCATACAAGAGCACTGGAGAGCATCCAGTGGTGCAGCCTGACCGCATACGGTGTGGGGTACTGTGTGTCCACTCCTTGGGCTACATTCTTACTATGGGCTGGTGCAACCCATTATGCTGCTCTGTAATGGACTTATGCACTAATGACAGATAGTCTTATTACCATAGGTGCTTGTCTTTTGTCCTGTGAGGCAGGTTCATGCCTTTGATTTCCCACTTTCCATTCTGGTGAGATTTAGAGCTAGCAAGTGCAGTAAGCTGATTGTAATGAACCAATGAACTCCACAGCCTGGGTGCAGTCTAACAGGACAATTCTGGTGCATGTCGTGCAAGTGACTCTAAAGAGCTTGTATCATGCCTTCCTGTCTGAAAACCAGCATTTCTTCGTATAGCTTCCCCTCAGATGGAAAAAGTCTAAGTTTCTTCCTTTGTTTCTGTTCAGAACAGGGCTGAGCTGCTTGAGGGAAGAGACTGATAGAGTTGAAACTAAATCATTTTATAAATCTAGCTTTAATCAGTTTCTAAATCTAGCTGATAAACCTGGAGTTTTATCAGTTTAAAGCATGTATCTATGCTGGTGCAAGCTGTAACAGAAGCCACCTGCCCAGTTATTTTATGACTGGAAGATACTCCTGAACACCATTCAGGACCATGAAAATGACAGATGATAATTTGTGTGTTACTTGTAATGAGAACAAAATCCCTAGAAAACGAATGTAACAAAGTAAGTTTCCTTATATTGCAAACCTGTATATTGTAATGCCTTTTCTTTTAGGTGCACACAACAGTTTACATTATCATGAAATGCAAGCTAGATGGCGAAGTGAGAACTGAAGTTGAATTCTCTCCAGAGAATGCGTCGTCTGTGCGTGTGCTGGCTAAGATGGAAAATGAGTACACAATTTCTGTGGAGGCTCCAAGTAAGCTGGGTTGAGATTTTCTTCCCCCATTGCTTTCTTTCTATCTCAGCCTCCTTGTCCTGAGAAGCGCCAGAGGGATAAGGGTAAAAGTTGCAATGCAGGAAAACTTAAGGGCAGGAAATCTTGAACTTGCATTCTCATCTGTGATACTTTTGTGATGAAGAACTGAGATAGACTGCTGCTTGGGGGCTCTGTTTTCCCCTCAGCAGTGGCAGGGTTGCAGCGTGGAAACTCCTTTCTGGGAGTTCTGAGAGCAGATTGCAGCTTGTAAAGCACTTTGAACTTAACTGTGTGTTTTAAGCACTGCCACGTTAGCATTGGCAGGGCACCAAGAGAAGGTAAGTGCCAGTAAATAATTGCATGACTGTAACAGCATGTGCTTAATGTGTGATGATAATTCTGTGATCAGAGCTGAAACCATTCATCCCGGCTTGCCTTTTCATTTACATATGTTCTGTCACTCTACGTATTTGCATTTACAAAACTGTAGGTTATCTAAACTTTAGGTTCACTAAACATTAGGGGCAAGACCTCAGAGCCTTACAGATTGATAGTAGTTTCCTAGCATTATTTTATTTAGTCTACTTTAGTCTTGAAGAGTCATTGTGCCAGCTCTGAGAATAGAGACTAATAGTCATTATAGCAACTCCCATGAAGTCAGTGAAGTAGACTGATTTAAAGAAGGTGACCTTACTCACATAAAAATGTTCAATTTAATCTGTCTTAAATTAAGACTTATAATTTAAACGTGGTCCTGGAAACTAACTTGCACTTTGAATTATAAACATGTCCTTCACACTGATGGAGTGTTACAGCCGTGTAAGCCCTACAGTTTCTAACAGTAAGAAAAAAATATTTTTAATCCATTTTGTGTGGATCTATTTAATCATTTCCTGAGTTGTTCACAGCCAAGCATATATATGGGGAAAGATTAATTTCAGTGGAATTCAAAAGATTTGTGTTTCAAAAAACAGTTCAGACCTATGAATGTGCACTGGACAAAACATCAAGAAACTACCAAGGTGCAAGTAGGAGAGAAATCCTGTACGTGGGTAAAGTTGCAAAGCTGGAATTCTTTTAAGTTGATTTCATTCAGAGACTTACGAGGCTGTCAGTGGTTGCAAAATCCCTAGTGACTTATCTGGTTTCTCTCCCCTTCTTTCCCAGCTCTTGTATTCTGTAGCATGATTTAGAGACTACTCCAGAGAAAGCCCAAGGATAGAGAGATGTGAGGCTTTCTAGTTTGAGGTGGTATACTATTAACCTTAGTGGTCCGGACTACTGTTATCAGAGGACCTAGCAGGTCACAGGTGATGTGCATTGACATGGCTATGAAGAAGGTAGTTCCAAAGGGCTTTC